TTCAGACCATACATATGGAACAAATTCTTTCATTCCTACAGAAGAAGAATGATTTTACGGAATTTGCTATATTTCCCCTATTGGGCCCCGCCTCTCATGGCCCCTGGGGGCCAGACCCACCGTTTATACAAAATTAGTTCCCCTTCCCCCAAAGATGCTTCTGACCAAATTTTGACAAAATCCGCTCAGTCGTTTATGACTAGTAGCGATTTATAGGAAAAGTTGACGGACCACGCGCCATTGCATAAGCTCACCGGTCCGCACACTCGCATATAATATCTTGTGGTACAGAAGACAGCTTTAAGATATTTCAAAAATTGTCTATCAAAACACTGGCATCTAAAAAACTCAGTTTGTTCAGACTTCTTTGAAGAAATACAATTTATAATACTCGAGTTTTGATTATGTCCAGCAAATTTTCTATTATACAAGCTTTCAAGGCACACATCATAAGTTTCTAAATATTTTAATGTATACATTGTTTCAGGAACACACAATTGCATTTATTCTATTTTATAAGTTTATTCCACATTACCTCCAGTAGATCTTGTAATGTATGGAATAATTCAACGATGATTGGTTCCAAATGCTCCAATCGATCTACTGCTGTCAATGCTCCATCCTGAACAGCCTTGGCTCCTTGCAGTCTCACTCGGGTTAGTTGGTCTCCTCCAACTGGAACCTTCAGCTTGTCAAGGTCACATGCTGAAAATGTCATGAACTCTGTACAATTGGGCTATGCACTAGGCAGTCTGCCCACTTTGCACCAGCTGTAATATTTAATAATGCCTAGCTATATAGGGAGGGAATTGAATCCTCGTACATAGCCCAATTGGTCTTTCTTTAAAAATTAAAGAAAAATAATAGACATTACTAAAATATTGTTTAATCATTAATATTTCCATTATCATTAATTTCAATTTCCAAAATATTTCAACTTTTAAGACAATAAGAACACTGTGAATGAGGACTCATATACCACCACCTCTGTCTGCTCCCCATCTACACAAACAGAAATGGTAAAGTGTGACATCTGACCTTTCAACATTGAGCGATGAGCACCAAAATCTAATCAGCTGTATACCTTAATGTTACCTTACCATACATGTTGTATAATTATAAACTAAGCTGTTGAGGGGTTCATAAGATATCTCATACACAAGCCTTTGACTTGAAAAGTAGTCGGGTGTGACATTTGACCCTTAACCTCAACTGACAACCATGTTATTACCTCTTCCACTTTTGGTGTACCACTGCAAAATCTGTGCCTCATATGACTTCATGATTTGGATGCAGTCTGAGTAACAGGCTTCATTCTTCAGCATTACTGGAAGCCAACAGATTTCTGATTTCTGAGACATGACATCATCTAAAGTATGTGGTATATGCTGTGGAAGAATTGACTTCATCCAATCAAATTTAGCTGTGTATGTTGTCATGATTCTTCCAAGTAAAACTTTTAACGAGTCCTTATACATCTGATCTTC